TACCCACTGATGGCCTTCTCCAGTGACATCTTCCATGGAGGGGGAAGAGTGGGTCAGATGGTGGCATCTCCAGCAGCGTCTGCTTCAGACCTGCTCCTGAGCAGGTCAGATTGACTTTGGCTTCTGAAAACCAACTTAGGATAATCACCAAGGTTAATGCCTTATTCTAATGGTTATTTGGGAGCAAAGAACTACATCTGAAGAAGAATTTTAACTTTCTAGGGTTTTTAAATGTACTTTTAAGGTTCATCACCAAAATAAGATTCTAGATATCTTAGAAAAGATGGGCATTGAAGCCCTGGATTGTTAATGGGCCTCTCAGAAATGATCTCAAGTTCACAACAGTATCTTGTGGTGTAGTGGACATGAGGGCTTGAAATGAGGTTATGTTTGTCAACCTTACCTACTCCCCAACTGGCCCTACTGCCTGTGGTAACTTTTTAAACTCTCTGAAAAGTGGTGGCTTCATTGGTTAATGAAAACAGTTGTTTCTACTCTTCCGGACTTGGTGATTTCTAAGCTCTCCTATTAAGGTTTTGTTATATATTTTTTGAAAATCTGGGCACCGCCGAAGGAAAATGAGCTGAATTCTAAGTATAGTGGGAAAAATATGGACTGCACAGTGCTGAAAATACAATATACACACATTTTAGTACCTTGCAATCCTTACATCATCCATGTGAGCAATAAATTTGTGTGCTGGCCATAGTCCCAAATTACACCTGAATTTATTTTTTTGTGCAACTCTTGGTCCCGCCTCCCTCATTTCCTGGTTAGTCCTTTGTAGACAAGCAACTCCTAAATATAGCATGGTTTCTATGGGAACATGCTTTATCCTGTGGATTCTAGGAACACATTTTATCTGAAAAACTAGGTCTGCCAGATTGAACCAAACTTAGAAATTAGAGTTTGTAATTTTGAAGGAGAGAAATTTAAAACTGGTTGAAATGTTGGTTCCATGTGAAACTTTTCCAGCTGAGTTGAGTTGGTATAAATTTGCTTTTGACAATAAGAGTTAGAAATCTCATCTTCTACTGAAAGGTTTTTTTTTTTTTTTTAAATAATTAAACATATGGTTCCATTACTTTAGATTCTTTTGTCTTTTATCTTTGGCCACAAGTGCTGTTGGATGACCATGTAGCAGATAGCACGGGTGGGGACAACACTCACTTTTCCAAAGTCAGTGAGAATTTTATCAGTTACCTAAATGTAGGCAGACAGGAACTTGCTATACAGGTGATTGAGTTTTTATCCTTTTGAATTCCTGTAGCTGAACAGTAAAGTGATTCGGGGCTGGATTTGCCTGCCACTGGAAGTCATGTTGGTCTCTTGCATCTTCATATGTCCTAAACCCAATGCTTCCTTATAAATATGTTTTGAGGTCTTAGCACAGCTGAAGATGACTATGAGGGTCAAAAGTGAGGTTGATGTGAGGAAAGGAAATGCTTTCGAGAAAAATGACATAAGCCCTCTTGTGGAAATTACAGCACAGAGGTTTGGGCTTCAAAAGAACCATATCTCTAAATACAGTTGCTGAGGGAAGGGAGTCTTTGAAAATTAAAATACAGAGCTATATTTTGAGCACACTGTTGAAGATATGAATGTGTCTGATAGAGAACTCCTCTAGGTCATTCTTATTTATTTATTTATTTGACAGAGAGAGAGAGAGAGAGAGAGAGAAGACGCTGAGAGAGGGCACACAAGCAGTGGGAGTGGAGGGAGAAGCAGGCTCCCACCTAGCAGGAAGCCCGACGCAGGGCTCCGTCCCAGGACCCTGGGATCACGACCTGAGCCGAAGGCAGAGGCTTAACGACTGAGCTACCCAGGCACCCCTCCTCTAGGTCATTCTTATATTCTTCATGTAAAACATGTGGGCTAAAACATACAAGTATGATAAGAGGCAGCTTTTGAAAAAAAGAAAACCATGGAAGTTTTTCAGGTTACTAAGAAAAATTTCTGCAATAATAACAGTAAAAATGAAAGTCTTGATGTATAAGAATGCTCTTTTATATGTTTAACCACGAGCTGTGGAGACCAACATCTGTTTGTGGCCCTCAGGAGGTTTATCTGGGTCCTCCATCTTGACTGTTCAACTTCGGAAGTCTTCAGTTTGAAGTGTGCTCGTCATTCATAGCTCACCCCAAGATTTCTCTTGATGCTTGTCATTGCTGGAGTCTTGATTCCAGCTACATGTTCTTGTTGCCCGCCCTGATGTGGATGACCCATAAATAAGCAGCGTGCCCTGAGTCTTCCAGCAGAACCAAATCCTAAGAGGAAAAAAGATCGCGTAAGTAGTCTGGGGCGTCGTTTGTTTCTGCCTAGAAAACAAGCAGAGAAATACCTAGAAATTACAGGCTATTGAAGGATAATGTTTGGTGAAGAGGTGGGGGCTGTGGCCTTAAGTCTTGAGGTGGGGCAGGGGGGGCCAGAGGGGGTAGAAACAGTAGAACATAGTCCCCATGCATTTAAATATTTTTAGGACAATACTGAGAAGTAACTACAGAAGAGTGGGATCTTGCTTTTGTGAAATATCCTTGTGTATGTTTCGGAGGGAGAAGAGGCGTTGGTACTTTGATGCCCTATCCTGTGTCAGGGAATCTGTTAGGTTCTTTACAGACACCATGTAACTTCTTACAAAATATGTGTTCTTATTCCCATATTTATAGCTGAAGAGACAGCTTTAGAGCTTAGCATTTGTCCCACAATTAGGCTGCTGGTGAGTGGCAGGGTACACTGTTTCCAAATGTCATACAGCCTGGGAAGGTGTGTGCATTGAAACTGTGCAACTGACAAATAATTTAGATTTTCCTTGCTTTAAAATAATTTCAAATTTGAACCTTGTCTTCTAAGACTTGGAGACTACCAAAATTTTAAACTAAATTGGTATCATATTTGTTCATAAGTTATATGAAACTCTTCTGTTTCACACAAAAATCACATAAGCATTATATATTTTATTTTATTAAAAATTTTTTTTTTAAAGATTCTATTTATTTATTTGGGAAAGAGAGAGGGAGCAAGAGAGAGCATGAGTGGGCAGAGGGAGAGAGTGAGGTAGAAGCAGACTCCCCACTAAGCAGGAAGCCCAATGCAGGGCTCGATCCTACGACCCCCGGAGCATGACCTGAGCCAAAGGCAGACACCCAGCCACTGAGCCATGCATGTGCCCCAGCATTATATATTTTAAATATGTACTTTGTGAAAGTGCATATCCTAGCACATAAAATTTGATAATCACATTTTTGAGTTGTAATAAAATCTTATTTAAATATGCCAGGTCCAATATAATGTTTCACAAACAAAGAAATTAGTTATTCCCTCTGAGGAGATGCTGGAGTAGCAGAAGAAAAATTCTAAAATATCTTAGACATTTGCTGTAGAATAGCTTCTCCCTCAGATACCATCCTTCAAACTGCTTCTGGCCAGGTTAGTGGTAGATACATGAGAAAAAGGGACACAGATCCTTCCGGACAGGGATGACTGACCTGTTGATGTCTGAGTCCCACACTGTCCAATCAAAGGTTTGAAAAAGTTTTTTATTTTTTACTGTCAGATATTCATAAATATCCGACATTCATAATATTCATAAATACTTACTGGTGCCATAACAGTTTTATGTGACTAAGTGTATATCTGCCTAGGTACATAAAGTAAGGAGAAAGGGGTAAATGTCTTTTCATTTCTGATCTTTCATGTTAAGCTTTTCTTGCTGTTGTTACCGAGCTATTTCAAGTGCACTAGCTCATGTAACTTTCCAATAACTGCTTCACGTAGACAGTAGGACCTCTCCCATTTCACAGCTTGAGCTCTGTGGAGCCAGGTGACTCACACACACTCCCACAGCGACCCAGTGACAGATCTGGCACTCGTTTACAGGATGGCAGATTGCTACGCAGTCACTGCTCCTTACACATCCAGCCTGAAAAACTTACATAAAACTTAAACATGGGCACCTGAGTGGCTCAGTCGATTAAGCGTGTACCTTCAGCTCAGGTCATGATCCGAGGGTCCTGCGGTTGAGCCCTGCATTGGGCTCCCTGCTCAGTGGGGAGACTGCTTCTCCCTCTCCTCTCTTTTGCTCTCTCTCTCTCTCTCAAATAAATAAATAAATAAAATCTTTTAAAAAATCAAACAAAAACAGAAAACAAAACTAAACAGAACTCACCCATCAACCCCAAGTTTTCACGGAAATGTAACATACTAGTCTAAGATTCAGGGTTAGCAAGAAGAAGAGTGCAGGATATAGTGTGGGCAGCTCCCTACTCAGAAGCTATTCATAGAAAATATTATATATTTATTTAAAGTAGGCTCTATGCCCATCATGAGTCTTAAACTCATGTTGCCAAGGATGAGAGTCACATGTTCTATGGACTGAACCAACCAGGTACCCCTAGAAGAAAATATTTTAAAATGTCTGATGCATCTTCTTACAATAATTGCACACAATTTATATGATCTTCTCTATGTTATCCCAAATTGGATTTCTAACAATAGAAAAAATGACCTTTGTAGATCTGAGATGAGTGTGACCTGCATGTATGCTGACTCTGCCTTTATTTAAAATTTTGTTATTTTATTCATCATGAGTTTTTTGCATTAATTTTGATTTTTTTAAAAAATTGCATTAAAATACCATTGATTTTAATTAATGAGTTTTTGGCCTTTCTTTAAATTTTATGCCACAGGCTAACATGTCCCATGCTAATTTCAGCCCTGGCATGTGAGCTTAATAGAATGACTGTCTACAGTTATGAATTTTATACTCAAACAGACTTATTTCTGTGATTTTGCTTCACTCTTTTTCTTCAATGTTTTGGTAATTAAGGGGAGTCCCTGACAATATTTATTGGGTCTACAGCTTGAGGTTTATAAACAGTTGGCTAGGATTGTAAAACTCAATATTATTAGTTAGTCGCTGTATAGTTTCCATATATCTGTTATAATTTTGTGAAACTTTTGATTTAGGAGTTTACGGTCTTCTAAGCATTTTATGGTGATACATGGAGTCCAACAATATGACCACCCTGCCAAACGCCTCAAACACAGAGCAAGGCCATTGCAAGGGACACTGCAGGATGATTTTGATAACACTCTACAGCATGGTTTTGCTTGGAGGCACCATGGGGACAGTACTGATGTCACGTATGATGTGCAAAAGGAAAAGCCAATCCATGATTGCCATGATCATTCTCAATATCATAGTGCTACACTCAGTTCTCCTGATCAGCCTCCCGTTTCGCCTCAGCTATTATATCTTAGGGGTGTGGGAGTTCGGATCCTTTCTCTGCCGACTGGTCAGCAGCATAATATACGGTCATATGTACTTCACCTTTGTTTTCTATGTGGCCATTGTCATACTCCGATTGCTCGTCTATTTTAAGACACTCCAAATGCAAAAGTTGCAAAAATACCACATGGTAGTATTAAGCATTGTTATTTGGACCATGGGCAGCCTTGTTTTTTGGCCAATATTACTTTTACAATATGGCATACATCCAAGCTACTCAGAAAAACCACGGTGCTTTGAGTTCTACAAAGATCTCAACCGGGGGGAACTCATTATCTTGAACTACTCTATGATTGTCATTATGATCTCAACAGTTGTTATACTCTTTCTGATAGAGATGGGTGTCATCGTTCAACTGATAAAAGCTCTCTGGCCTGACATGTGGGCACATCAAGACTATAGAGCTCAAATCAAGAGCTTCTTCTTCCTCCTAGTAATAGTGGTCTGTTTTATACCCCATCACGTATTCCGGGTACATTTTATTCAAAATTACTCAGAGATAGACAATTCTGAGTTAGTTCTTTATAATGAAATTTTTGTTGCTTTGACTACTGTCTGTTGCCTGGATATGGTGTGTTTCATAGGTGGGGTTATCCATTAAATACTCCTTGTCCCTCACTTTGTAATTGGTTTTTTACCATTGTGACAAAACAGTTTCAAATGAACAACTGCTACTATGATTTCAAAATTTTTCAAATTCTCAGCTCTTAATTGTCACCGGAATTATTTTTCCATGAAAAGGTAATGAAGACCAATTGTCCCCCTCTTCTTGGGTGATCTGTTCTCCCTGAACTGTATATTCACTTGCCATAGCTCTACCCAAGTTGACCCCAAACATCCTTTCCAGACTCAACTGCTACCTCTTTTTCATGCAGTACTTACTCCCGCTGAGCACAACCACGGGCCTTTCCTACTCAACAGTCCAGCCTGTTCTCTTTGCCTTTGTTATTGCTGAGCTTTGATCTTAGAATGTTCTTTCCCTCCTTCTCCAAACTATCTCTTCTTTAAGGTCTAGAGAATTTGAAGACATGGACTCTAGAGCCTTAACTTGTTCAACTTATGCTCAACCTGATATAAGTGCCTCTTGAAAATGACCGATAGTCAGCGAAGATATGGCAGCTGGCCATAGTATTTGGAGGAAAGAACTAAGTTTAGTAGTCAATAGACTTGACTATTGGAAGGAAACACTTCCAGGATTGCTGGAGCATTAATATGGCTTGATTCTGACTAAGACTTTGTAGATACTCAGGAAATAAAGAATGCCACCCAGATTGACGTTTCCAGATATGGATCCATTAAGCAGGAAAAGAAATTGGAAAAGGTGGAAAGCAGCTGGTCTTAGTCAAAGCATGCTATACTAGACTACATTAGACTCTATTAGAGCCCAAACTTTTGAGAGTGTGGGACTGTTTTTAAGCTTATCCAAGGCACCCTATATGAACAAGTAATATTACATAATGAAAATCAACTCTGGTATCAGTTAAATGCAATAGAAATAACCAAGACAAGCAACCTGGATTGAGATAAATAGAATACAAGTTGGTTGTCTTGGTTATTTTTGATAATAGAATTTATCAAATTATTTTTGATCAATAGAATCGCAGTTGGTTGTCTTGGTTATTTTTATTGTGTTAGTTGATACTTACCTGACATAGAAATTGAAATGCCCTTATTCTTTGCCTATAATAATGCTACCTTTGATATTAAATTTTAATGAATCAAATAACCAAACCCTTACTGGCTAACAAGACAGCATAGTTAATACAAAAGAATTTGAGAGTCATCCACACATGTGGATTCAAAGGTTTTGGTAACTATGGAATCATGGATGAGGTATTTATCATCTCTGAGCCCCAGTATCCCATGTTACAGGGTTTGGGTAAAGGTGAAACAAGATAGAAGCATGTGTTAAGTTGTGTTACAGTGCCAGGCATGTGATCCTCAGGATAACATTACCTATTTTCCAAATCCAGCGACACTTTTTATAAATAATTTTAAAATAGATTCAAAATGTTGATTCATGTAAAAATAGACTTTAGAGGCTCAGATGCTATTCGTCAATGTTAATCTCATGCTTTATGTAATTATTAAGTCAGTAACTTAATGGATGCTTATTCTTATTTTTGCCTATAAACACTTATTATTATTCTATTATTATTTATAATACTTAAAATACTATAGAAGAACCATTTTATAAACCTGCTTATAAAACAGGAACAAGATAAATAGCAGTGCACTTCAATTACATGTAATCACTTTTTAAGGGGATATGATATGTCCTGAGTAACTTCAAGATTGTGATTGATTGTGTAACTTAAGGATGTAGTCATTACTCGCTTACTACTTTGTTGGGTTCCATGATTTCCTTTTAATATTGTGGGCAGTGGAGCTAAGGAAGCCTCTGATAAGCTCTGCCTGATATTCCTGCCCCTGTGCAATCTCCCCTTTTACTACTGACTTCTTATGAATGAAATAGGGCAGAGCAATGAGGTATCATTTCCAGTTTTAGGTTATAAAAGGACTATGGCTTCCATCTAGGGCATCCTTTCTCTCCTTTGTGCTGTCTCTTGGATTGCTTTACCCTGGAGGAAACCATCCGCCATGTCATGGGGCAGCACAAGTGGCAAAGAGTCAATACCTTCTAATAACCACGTGAGTGAGCTCGGGAGTGGATCTCCTGAGACCTGCCAGTAGACATGCAGTGAGCTCAGAAGCAAATCCCCTCCTATTTGAGTCTTGAGGTGATGGCAGCCCTGGCTGGCATTGAGTGCAACCTCACTGAGAGACCCTGAGCCTGAACCACTCAGCTAATCTGCTCTTAGATTCCTACCATGAAACAATGAGACAATGAATGTTGTCTTCACCTAGTAAGTTTCAGAATAATGTATTACACTGTAATAGGTAACAAATAAGTAAGCGAGTTATTTACACCTGTGGAATGCTGCCACATAAGGCACTTGTGTCTGAGATTTACATCCACTTGTTAGTTCCTGCCTGTTCCAGGTGTTCATGATAACAAGAAATATCATTGCCTGTTTTCTAAGTCAATAAGAACTGTGTCTGGTATTGTATAAGCTTTGCTTCTACCCCTAAAGAATAGATGATATTACATGGAAATACACTGGAGTGGTTTTAGGGTGAAGACTGCAAAGGGGACAGCTGGGGAGTGGGTAGGAATTTCTCTTTGTTAGTCATACTGAGGTATGGATTACGGGCGCTCTGAGTGTGGTTCCTAGATCCCCACCTGCAGGAGCAGTATCTGGGACCTTATTAAAAATGCAAATTCTTGAGCTCTACCTGTGACCTACTGATTCAGAAATTGTAGATGTGGAACCCAGTGATTATGCGTTTTAACGAGCCCTCTAGGTGATTCTGATGTGAGAATCACCTAGATTCTCATGATGTAATATCATCTATTCTTTAGGGGTAGAATCGCTGCCCTAGATACCTTGATAGATTAAAAATGGACACAAATTCTTTGGCACGGCTTCCACTGTGAGATGGAATCTCTTCCCCTTCCCCTTCCCTGGGAGTGGAATTTGCGAATGTGCCAACCAACAGAACAGAGGAGAAAGGACCCTGCCATTTCCCAGAAGTGGGCCTTAAGAAACTGGAAACCTTCATTTCCCCTTCCTTGGAACACTTGCTCTTGGAGCCTGAACTGTCATGGAAGAAGTTTGACTTCCCTGCTGGGGAGAACACGTGGAGATGTCTATGATGGATGGCTGGAGATGAAGGGGAGATGAGCTCAGAGAAGCCCAGTCTTCCAGCCAAAGCACCAGGCATGGGAACGAAACTGCTTCGGCTCGCCAGACCACCCCGCTGCCGTGGAGCTGCCACAATGTGATCCCAGTCCCCTTCAGCTAGTGCGGAGAAATTGCCCACTCAGTCCTGCCTGAATTCCTGATCCACACAACTGAGAGATATAATGAAATGATTGTGTTAACCATATTAAAAAATGAAAAAGAAACAAGTGAAGTTGAATTGAGTTATATGATTTATGTGACCCATTCTATCCCAAATATTATCATTTAAAGAAACAATCAACATAAAAATTATTAATGAGATTTTTTTTGCATTCTTTTATTCCTATTAAGCTCTTCAGAATCTGGTGTGTATTTGAGGCTTGCTCTGAGTAGCTGCATTTCAGTGGTCACACATGGCTCATGGTCAATATATTGGACAGCACAGATCGGCATCACCCAGAGATCATTTGGAGATGTATCTGAGGATCCTTTTTCTTACAGGAGACTGGCCTTGTGTCTCTCTGAAATTCACTTTCCTCCCATGTGAAACAGGAATAATAGAACCTACTTCAGAATATAAAAATTAAATGGTATTGTAAGAGTACAGATAGCAGTGCACAGCAAGTACAAATTCTCTGTCTCTCCATATAGATACTATTGGTTCTGTTTCTGCAGAGAACCCTAATGCCTGTGTGAAGCAAGATATCCCTGCTATCACTAGCTTTTGTTTATAGAAAAATGTCATGTATGTTTGTATTAAGCAACTTAGGATTGCTCCAGCCCACAGACCTAAGGGCCTTTGGAAGGAAGCCTTCCTCTTGCAAATCCACATACAGGACCATTAGTGCAGCCACCACATGGGTCTGCCCTGTCCTTCCTCTCTTACTCATGCTCCTAGTTGGCAAAATCTTCTCTCCACAAAGTGGCACAAGATCTCCAATGTCCATGCCCAGATTCTCCCGTTCTTCCAGTGTTTACAGTCATCAAAACACAAGAACTCTGCTGGGCTCCAAGTCCATGGCTGGACAGAATGAATTGTCCCCAGTTCTACCTAGGTCCAGAGTCTCTAAACTGTCTTTCATCCTTCTGTTTCCTCTGGCCTTCATTCCATGTCTAGAATTTTTTAAGTCTCTGGATAAACATCCCTATCTGTCCCTGATCTTTTCCCCAACCCTATATGGAGTTCTCTGCCTGGCCCTGCTCCTGAGCACCAGGAATCCGCCCCTGATGCATGGTACTTTGGGTTTTCTTGTTACTGGGCTCCTGGTTGGATCTGACCACTGGGAGTTACCTGCAGGAGAGTTGGTCCAGAGGGAGGAATGAGGATGCGGCCTTGATTCTCTGCCCCTTCCCCACGTTGTTATCATACATCTAGCAGGGCCTGCAGCTCTAGGCTTCAGCTTTTACTTCACGGCCCTGCTCTCCCTGCATTCCATGGAGAATTCCAAGGTCTTTTCTTCCCTATGTCCCTCCAGGCCTGGACTTGGTGCTGCAATCTCTGTTTACATCAGTATCCCTTGTTGGCTCCCTCATTTCTGCTCACAGAAACGTACCTTCATTAATGCCTTTTCAGTTTTTCCATTGGAGTTGCATTCTGCTTCCTGCAGAGAGGTGGCTGATTCCTTAAGAACTCAAATCCGTTCCTGAAGGTGGAGTGGAAAGGGGAACTCCCATTCTCTGCATTTGCCTCGGTTTCCCCAAGCCAAACGTCCTCTTCCCCGTCTCACAAAAGGAAAGATTTCACAAATATCAACAGATTCAAATAAATAACGAGGTGGGGTGCAGAGGCGGAGACACTGACATAAATATTATCAGGGTAAAAGAGTAAACGTGGCCTTGGATGCATCCATAGAGA